GATACAGTGAGTCAATTGAATGAAAATATGGAGGTGGTTCGATTGAATACATCCCCTTATTCGTTTTTGGCGAGAAACTCATTAATACCAGTTTCGTAAATACATTTTTTTAAACCAAAAAAAAAATATGGAGGTGGTTCTGGTCTTGTATTGGTCCAACAAATCACAGACAATGAACAAAATAGAAAAGAAAAACAAAGCATGTGTATGATTAGAATAAGATCCAGCAATATAACCGTTACCCTGAAACCTTGTCGGCTCATACGTGGTGACTTCCTTAATCACATGCATTTTTTTCCCTCGAGTTTTCTCGATTGCAAATATTTGCATAAAACAATGTTCCATTGTTGTTGTTTTCTATTAAAAATCATTTTTTTTCTTCTTCTTGGAACTTGTGAAATAAATTGATCAGTCCTTCTTTCTGATGACTTCTGGATGAAAGTTCTCTGCAACATATGGGATACCCAGAGTATAACAGAAAACTAACAAACTTATAATCTGATTTTGCCACACAAATCATTTCATTGTTTGTACAGGAGCTTCTAACATTTTCCATAATATTTCATTATTCTCAGTCCTTCAATTGTAATTTTTCGCTATTTCTTGTGGAACAAGTAAATAGAAAGTGAAACTTTTGAGCCTCCAAAAACTCTTTTCACTTTAGAGATGCGTTCTTCTTCCAGACTCAATTTATCACTGTCCCAAAACAGATCCAATGTTTAGGGAACTTACAATGTCAAACAGACCCAATGTTATGGAACTTCGAATGTCGAATGCAATACAATTTTGTAGCAACAATTAGGAGTTATGTAGCTACTTGTAATCCATAAATAGAGCAAACTGTGTAAGAACACAATCTAGTAACATGTTTGTTGCAGACCAGGCTAATTAGCCTTACCCTCCAATAACCGCCTCATTTCAAACTCTAACCACCAATCAATAGATGTATAACACCATGTTTTTCTACTATATTACGAGACAAAAGTGCATCAGAACTCTTCTTCCTGGATCAATTTATAATCATGTTCTTTCGAAAGAGACATGCTCTTTATCGGATTAGTATCCAACAATGCTCAAGTCTCTGCAGTTTCTTCTTTCCTTATAGCTTTCAGCCTTTCTTGAAGCTTCTTGCTTTGTTCGAAATTTACCTTCCGCTTCACAGCTTTCTACAAAGAATTGCAAGAAAATGTAATTCACCCAAAAAAAAAATGAAAACCGTGAGCTGAAACGTACTCTGATGGCTATTAGTATTTAGTAACTTACCTCCTGGCGAAAACATCGATCAAGCTTTACTTTAAGCTCAGTACAATCTCCAAAGAATTTTCCAAGAGGATGTTCTAAATGACACTTTTGAAATTCCTCAATGATCTGAAATACATGTTACATACATAAGAACTAGTAAGAACAGCAACAAAAGAGATCAAATTGATTGTTTATCGACAAGTTTTCTCTTGCCAAATGCAGTTATGTAGCTTAACTCCAATCATTTTAATTGCCTTTGCAAAGATTTACTAAAGCTAGAGATTGCTACAACAATGAGTTATCACCAACATATAAAAATCTCTCATCTGACATACATAAGAACAACAATAAAAGAGATCAAATTGATTTTTATCGACTAAAAATGGCCAAAGATTTGCTCGTGCCAAATGCAGTTATGTATTATGAGTTAGAAGATTGCTACAGAAATGAGTTATCACCAACGTTGCATATGTCATCTCATTACGCTATAATAAGATGAAAGGATCCGCCTCAACTAACTGATCTATCAACTTTATTTCTTCTCTTATGATACACAAACAAAGGATATTCTTGAAGACGAGGTTTAAACTAAACACAAGAGAGACACTACAACAAACACGATTCAGAAATCAACTAAATCGAAGAAGCAGCATCATAAGAAAATACATATAATGAAAGTGAGAGAACTAATGCTACAAACTTACCTCAAGACACATTGGGTGCCTATGTGGTGTAAGTGGAGGATGCATCTTTTACTTCTGTAAGAAAAGAAAAACGGAAAAATATAAAAACACTGAATTTGTTGTATATCACAAACCCAATTTATAAGACCTAATTTTGCAGAAGCAAAAACCCAATTTACAAAAACCATAATTTATAAACCATTCTTCTAAAAAAAGTGATGTAATCAGAAATTTCTGATCTCAATCAGCGAAACGAGATAGAAGATGAATTGATTCAACTCCCTCAATTTTAACAAGACAGGTAGATAACCACATCATTTCAACAACAAATCGGTGAAGAAATCGCAAAGAACGATAAAAGTAAATTACCTTGATTTGTTAGAGAGACAGAATTGGAGATACAGACTTCCGAAATCACTGAATCGAGAGAGAGAGTCAACGAAGTTCTGAGCATAGAAACGGGTCAAACTTTTCGGGTTAATGGGCCTCTGTAAACTATTCGGGTTAATGGGCCTAGTCCGTTTCGTATGACATGGATGAGAAAATCAGACATGAGGACAGAGAGTATCAGAGGAGGAAGAGGAAGAGAATAAAAATCTGACCTTTTGCTTTAAATTCACAGGTAAGTGAAAAAGCTCGATGATTATATCTTGTGGGTTTTATGAATTGTGTGTTAAAAAAATGAAAAGCTTGAAGATTTTGTGTTTCTTCGTCTTGTATTGAATTTGATTCCAACAGGATGATTTGCTTGAGATATTCAGTACCTTATCTTCCTCAAACAAAGGAATCAATTAAACTCTTCTCCAAAAGGCCTAACAATGTTGTGGTTCGTACTCTTTTCTTCCTTAATAGCTTCTTTATGTAACATTTTCTTTAGTGTCGAATTTTTCACCTGTTGTGTTCGAATTCAAGGTTTGTGCGGCGAGAGGTCCAAGACCTCGATCTCCTCGAGTATGGAAAACAAGGAAGAGAATTGGAAGTATCTCCAAGGCTGCTAAAATGATTGCTTGTGTAATCCTCTCTTTAACACTTTCAGTCTCTTTATATGTTTCTGTGTTCTGCAATCTCTTTTAGAGTCAATAATAGTTAAGCTCTTTTTATACGATTTGGTAATGGATATGTACTGAGATGATGAATCTTGTTAACTGTAGATAAAAGAATTGTCGAATGTTAAAGAAGAAGTTTACGGTGCACTTGATTCCTTCATTGCTTGGGAATTAGAGTTCCCTCTTGTTATAGTTAAGAAAGCATTAGCTATACTCGAAGATGAAAAAGAATGGAAGAAGATTATTCAGGTAATTTCTTGTCGTTCTGGTTTCGTCTGAGCTTCTGTTAACTTTTTTTAGTTAGGTGACAAAAGAAAAGGTTTTCGTATATTATTATAGGTGACAAAATGGATGCTGAGCAAAGGGCAAGGAAGAACAATGGGGACTTACTTCTCATTATTAAACGCTTTAGCAGAAGATAATCGGCTTGACGAAGCTGAAGAATTGTGGAACAAATTGTTCATGGAGCATTTAGAAGGAACTCCAAGAAAATTCTTTAACAAAATGATCGCTATATATTACAAGAGAGATATGCACCAAAAACTCTTCGAGGTACACTAAAAAGGATGCTAGAGACATCAAAACTTTCTGAAACTATTGAAATATTAGCTCTTTGTTCATGTTTTTTAATGTTCTTCTTCTTAGGTGTTTGCTGACATGGAGGAGCTTGGAGTGAAACCGAACATTGCGATTGTGTCTATGGTTGGAAAAGTGTTTATGAAATTAGAGATGAAAGATAAATATGAGAAACTGATGAAGAAATATCCTCCACCACAGTTTGAGTTCAGATACATCAAAGGAAGACGTGTTAAGGTCAAGGCAAAGCAGTTAGATGAGCTGAGCGAAGGTGAAGGTGGCTTAAGCAGCGACGAAGATAAGAATGATAATGAGATTGAGAGTAAATCTAAAATGTTATCAGATAAGGAAGCAAGCCAAGATAGT